AAAAAAAAAAAAAAAAGAAATGTAACCTGGTAGTGAAAATTTGATACAAACTTATGGAAAGTTTAGAAACATCCTTGAAAGAGGATGGCCAGATAAATGGGGCTTTATCAAGAGATCCGATCACCAAAGACTGATCTGGCCACCAAAGTCCCAGAACTTTCCATGAGGAGAAAAGCAAGCTGCAGACAGACATATCTATGTACCTAGCACTTTTTATGGGAAGGCGACACAGAAGCTTCCCTTTATGCAAAGGTTTAATCGCGATGATGATCGGCATTACATTCTTGCCTCACATTTTATTTTAGCAAGCCATGGTAAGTCAGACCTTCTGGGATATGCTTTCCCCTCCCTTTTCTTCTCACTTCCTCATGTACCCATCTGTTACTGGAAGGCCACTGCTAATGATGTGTAATACAGGTACATTACAACCTTCATTAGCTAATTTAACAACAGTCTGGTGATCCTGCCCATTACAGCTCTTTATTGGCTGATGAATTCTGCCAAGATGGGAACGGTTTTGTGTGACTGACTTGTTTTCAAAATAGTTTATACACAGACGCTTCCCCATCTTTCCTTGATCGCCTTGCTCTGTATCACCAAATGGCTCAGATATTTGTTTTTCCAATCTTACTGTCCTGTCTGGATTTAGTTTGTTTACTTGGTGCCTTTAGATTTGGTATCTCTTCCCTGTTCATTTTTTTTTTCATGAAAATTTAATTTTTCATGAAATTTTTCAGGAAAATGGTCTCTTCTCACTCATTAATACAGTACTTTTTATCCATTACTCAAAGATCTCACCACACCCCTCTAAGCTATTTAGGAAGGATGAATGTGAGGTGAACCCCTTTCAGGCCTTTCAAGCAGATCAGTGTATTAAAACGAAAAAAATGGAATTGTCAGAAGCTAAGCATTCAGCCTTCTTAAAATATCAGCTAAGAAAAAGACTTAGTAATCTGAGGTTTGAATCTGTTGTTTCTTGAATGCAGTCTAGGGTCAGGCCTGTCACTAAGAGGCTACCTAGAGATGTATTTCTCTCAGAAGTCCCATCTCCACATTCCCAGGAGCCCTTGCACTTTGTCTCTCCATTATTTCCAAGTAAGATACAACACCTCTTAGCTGGACCAGTGTCTTTTGGAAGGAGGAGGGGGAGAGGTTTTATTATGCAAACATAATAAGAAGTGTTTATTATGCAAACAGCAACTGAGTTATGTGTCCTTTAAGACTACTAAATAGTTTTTAATTACTGCTATATCAGTAAATCCCATAAATATGCAAATGCAATTAGTTCACAAAACAGACCTTAAATATCTTTATTCCTCTCCAACAAAATTCTTTGAAGTTAATCGCTAACTCTCTTTGTTCACTCTCTTGGCAGTTGTGCTAACATTGACAGGAATTTTGACAGATGTACATATTCAGGGGAAACCACATTTTCTGAGCACATCTGGTCAGGCTGGAGCAGAAAAGTAGAAATGGACACTCTGGCCGAAATCAAATATTTAATGAGTACAGTCCCCTGTGAAACTTCTTTTACTCTATAGCATTATCCTCTGAAATAAATATCAAGGTAACCACTGGGACGCCACTTCAAGTACAAAGCCGCACTCAACATTTGATTTTCTTCTGGCTCAGAATTTCATTTTTAATAATAATGCACATTTTCTCCTGGTCCTTAAAAATGAATGAATGAATAAATGAACGAATGAACGAACGAACGAACGGACGAAGGAACAGAGGAATAGTATCCCCCATGACCCTGGCCCTTCCTGGCTATGTGACATGGTTTTCTATGGGAAGTCATGGAACACAGGAGTAAGTTTCCCAGGCTTTGGAATCTGACACATCTCAGTTGCCCTCCCAGCCCCATCACTTGCTAGATGCTCATGGCCGTGGTCAAATTGCTTACTGTTTTTAAGCTTCAGTTTTCACATCTGTAAAAAGGGTATAATAGGCTCTGTTTAGTTTTCTATGGCAACAAAACAAATTCCTACACACTTAGCAGCTTAAAACCAAACTCGTTTGTGAGCTCATGGTTCTGTAAGTCAGAAACCCAGGTACAGCTTGAATGGGTTCTCTGCTCAGGGTCTTAGAGGGGGAAGTCATGGTGGTATACTAGAAATGGCTCTTACTGCATCAAAAGGGCCAACTGTGTACATCCCTTCCCAACTCTGTTCAGTGACATCAGGTTAGTAGCTTGAGAGCAGCCATGATGGGAATGTCTGCCACACGGACGTCGGACATCGGCA